TGTACAAATGTGCTTGACATACAATTGATGTATGTATGGATTGTGATAAGAGTTGGATGAGCCCCTAATAAAACGATTAAAGAAAATAACAACAAAAAAGAATGATGTAAGGAGACAGAGCCTCAGACACTTCTCCCCGCCTCAGTGTGGGAGGAAGAGCTCTCCTGGGCCCACAGCACATCTGGGCGTGAGGAACACTGATCAGACACATCCCCCGGCAGTGGCGCAGACTCAGTGGGATCAACACACAAGTGAGGACAAGCTGGGGTGGTGTGTGGGGAATCTGAACAGATGTGCTCTTCAGCCCCCTGGCCAGGGAACACTGCCAGCACAGAAGAGCCGTGAAGGAACACGCTCTAGGTGATTTCTAGTGTTAAATTATGACACTTGAGAACCTATGATTTCCTTCTGGGATTTCCACAAGCCTCGAAAAGGGAAACTTACAACGAAGGATCTTAGTGCATTGTTGCCCCCAGGTCCTGTGTAAGGCGGCTTGGGGCAGAGGAGAGGAGGCAGTGTGGATTCTTGACATAGAAGTGTTCTGAGCAGAAGTCACTGCCCTCTGGGATCAAGCCAAGTTAAGTGAGGCAGGACAGTTGGGTAAGAATGTTAGTCCAGGCTCAGTCAAACAGTCGGGGTGGAATGAACACAGCCGCAGAGTAGGGCTCCAGGCTCTGCCGGGGGTGAGATGCCAGCTATGGGGCTCCAGCAGTGAACCTGATTCCACAGGACCCCTGAGCCTAGGGCTCATGGTCTATGAAGGATCCTGAGCTTAGAAGCAATAGGGAGAGGATGAGAAAAAGGATGGAATCCTTTACAGTGGTTGCCCACCGGCCCATTTTAAGTCCTGGCTCCTCTGAGCACCTGGCTGACAGACTCTGGGTTCCAGCCACACCCTACACCTGTCTGGTCCTTTCCTCCCTTCATGACACCCTCTCACCCCAGAGCAGCCTGCAGTCCTTCTCCATGACCGATTCACGGTACTTCCTGGCAAACCAGACTTACTGCAGAGAGAAAGCGAGCCACTATCTCTCAGGATGGAAGGCACATGCCATTCTTGGGTAAAACTGAAAGTAATGCTAACAGATGAACTGCCATTACCTTTGAGCCCACCACTGCCAAAGGCTGGGGCTACTTTTACAGGAGAAACCGGCAAAGCAGTTTTGCTTGGAGAGGGGAAATAATCACAACTTCCTCGAGCAAATTTTTCAGCTTCTTCTCTGCTTAGGAAAGCTTTAAATCGAGATCCCTTGATCATTTTGACAGCTTGCAAGGCTTCCTTTCTATCTTCGTAAACATGAATCCTTTCTGCGGGAGAAAAGTAACAGTGATCATGACTTCTCCACTGGCCACCTGACAAAGCGGCAGCACCAGCCCCTCCAGCATGATGTTGGAGCTAACAGGTCATTCCTGTTCAGCTCCCAACCCGAGCGGGAAGCATTCTATCTTTTACCAGGAAGTATCAGGGGGCTCCAAAAACTTTATAGACAAATTTCACACACTATTCCAGGGTCCTGGCAGCATTCTATGTTATTATTGACTCTTGTAGTGGTTACAGGGGTGTATTCACTTGGTGATGATTTATTATATACAGTCTATGTTTCAAGTACTTTCCCATAGGTATGTCATATTTCTAGAATTTAATTGAGTCAACGGCTTAAAATATTAATTCTAAATAAATGTTATTTGCAAAAATGAATTGATCATTCTGGTATTTGGGCCCCAAATTAATCATCATAGAATCGGATGGGAGCAGGCAAAGGGCTAGTGTATGAAGAAGGCACTGTGTTGTTAGTGGCTCTTCAGTCAGCCTCCAACTCTTAATGACCCCATGCATAACCCATGGTCCACGGTGGGTTTTTAAATGGGTGCCTCTGAGAAGTAGACCCACGGGCCTTTCTTGCTGGTCCTGTGTGACAGCTCCACTGAAAGTTGTCCAGTAGCGCGCGCGCACACGCACACACAGCTGTTCGGTATCACAGACACACATGCACACGTGCGCTTTCATAGACAGACAGCTGGTGGCTGTATAAGAGCTACATCTGCTGTGGATTATGTGCCAATAAAACCTGGGGGTGGGGTGGGGGGACTACATTTGCCAGAAATCAAACCAGGTCTCTTACAAGAAAGCCAAGATGCCACCACTGACCCAGCCCCAGGAGAGGGACAGAAACCAGCTGCCACAAAGTTGACTCAGACTCATGGGCACCTGTGTGTCAGTGTTTCCCCATCCAGGGACTGGGAGGAGGGATGTGGAGACTATTACGTAGGTTTATCAACAACTATTAAAATGCAAAATCATAAGTGAACAAAAATGCTAAAGGCTAGCCATTATAAACGAAAAATAAAATACCAGCAGAATTAGAAAATAATAGAATTTCCCCTGAAACCCTTGAAGGGCCTTCATATGTAATGTCTAAGTCATTAGTTGTTTTTTTTATTAAAAAAAAGGGAGCCAAGAAAATTTGACCAAAGCATCACAGGGGCTAGAAAGTAGAGTACAGGCCTAGTGCAGCGTTAGGGATTCTAAACCACTGCAATACCGTGACTATCACAATACAGTAAGTCACACAAGTTTTCTGGTTTCCTAGAGCATAACAAAGTGTTGTTTGCACCCACTGTAGACCATTAAGTAGGCAACAGCAGCATGAAAAAGTGAAACACTGTGAGAATGACTACGGCGGGACATAAAGACTGAAAGTGAGCAGCTGGGGAAATGGCGCTGAGAAAAGAAATACCAAGTGCTATCTTACCACTTTTCGCTGGGATGTCCTCATACACGGGGCACACTCCATAGAACAGAGGAGGCTCTTTAGAGAGGGCCACGGCAGCTCTGTGACCATTCACCTCCCCTAGAGCGCTGACAGTCGCTGTGCAGGTCTTGGGCATTATGTTATCCTCCTCAGGAGGATGCAAGTCCACGCTGTAGCCAAAGTCTTTGTTTGCAGAGAAACTGGCACTCCTCACAGTGCATTGTAAAAGCCCCTGTGTTTCTTGGCTGAGCTCTGTGATGCCTGCCACACCTTGCACAGGAGGCAATGAAGACAAGGCTCTACCTTGTTCTATCAACGCCTGAGCCAACTTTTTCTCGAAAATGAACCTTGTAGTTGATGTAATGGGTCCACACTTCAATCCGGCACCGACAATTTCTTCTCGAAGGTCATCTGGCTTCAGGAGTTTCAACCGAGCCAAAATAGCATCCATTGTCACTTCACCTGTGCCTAAGAAGACCAAAATTTATTGGAGGGCTAGCAGCATGTCTATTTTACACAAACCGCCCCCTGAACACAAAACGGAACAAAACACTGGCTTCAAAGTTTAACTTCAGCGTTGCTTCATATTCTTTAGAGCCTGTGTATTCTCTATAAGATTTTAAATATATTTTCTTTCCATATACATAATAAGCTAAAGAAAATTAAGATAAAATCAATTTCTGTACATAGGAGTACTATCACAAATACTGTCAAATGAACATGCTTGAGAAAGTATAAAAGAAAAAGGCTTTTTTTAAAGTATAATTTCAAACAACCCCCCTGGAAGTCCATTTGACAATATCTATAAAACTTCCAACTCTAGAAATTTAAGCTATTTACATAGTTGCACTGCATTCCCTAAGTGATGGGAATCTGGCCACACACACAGCTCTGGCAGTTATTTTTCTGATACTAAATAATTGTCTGGTACTTCTCTAAGCACTCCACACAAACTAGAGAGAGAAGGCTGAGGCCCAAGTTGTAAAAAATAAGCAAGTAAATGATAACAGGTTAGAAACAACAAGCGGATGTGACCCAGAGTTGCCACTTTAGCAAACAGATTTGGCTAAATACCCTATGGAGTACGTAGGACTTCAAAAAGTTCATGAAAAAAATGGAATTATTTTAATAGTATTTAATATTTCATGGTAGAATTTTTCCATGAACTTTTCAAAGCCCCATCATACAGACAAAAGTGTGGCCAGCTGGACTCAGGTAGGAAAAGATCGGAAATAATCAGTCAGACTATTTTAGCAGTCATGGGATGGAGAAGAGGGTTTACAGTCAGAACTAAAGAGGTATCAAGGAGGGTGGAGAGAGGAGCTTGAGGGGTTGGCTTTCACTTCAGATGCCTAGGAGGGGATTCTCTCCAAGGAAGAGAATATTAGCTACAACAAATGGAGGACATTCCACCCTCACCCCCCATGTAGGCACTAGAAGTCTCTGGTACACACCACTTTGATTTTCAAATCTGAGTTTTAGAGGCCAAAAGTTCTGTGTGATTAGTTCACTAGCGTTTACGGCCGGGTTGCTGTGAGTCAGCATTGACCGGACAACAGCTGGCTTGGTTTTTTAGCATATATGGAGGCCTGGTGGCCAAGTGGGTTAAGTGTTGGGCTCCTGCTTCCAAATGGGGTTAGGCACCGGGTCAGTGGCCTGAAGAATGCCAACTTTAAAATGCAGTCATTAATGCTGAACTCAAGGGCTTAGATGTGGATCCTCTGGTCAAATGAACCCAGACATGATGAGCTCCTCCACTGAGATGATCCTTGCTGAAAACGTGCAAACTGTTTCTCAACCAGAAGGAAAGGTTGCACTGAAGAGCAAGCCATCCCAGAAGAAACTAAAGAAGCTTGGAAGTAAATTAAGCTTGAAATGCAAGTTAATGAAAGTTAAAAAAGAAAAAGTCTGTCCATCGTTGAGTATGCTCTGAACAACTGTCGCGTTGTGAGAAGTCTAGCCAAGGACCAGACGGAGAGAAACCGAAGCCTAGGCTAACAGAGCAGCTCCCAGATCAGATCCCTAGCTGTCAGGTGCTGGAGTCAACAAACAAGTGTTCTTTGAACTGCTATGTGCTGGCTGGGGTTGCTGTCACACAGTAATATATAATAGATACATCAAACATCATAACCCTGTGAGTTAAATATTTGTAGTTTATATGTCAGTTAAACGTGAAAGAGTGTTCAAGAAAGTTGTCTCTGGCTATCACAGTCAGATCTAGGCAAAGGTGAGTGTTGGGAGAAAATGGTAGGCCAGCCAGGCAAAGAAGTCAAAGTTGAGCTGCAGTAAAGACAGCATGAAGACAAAGGCAAGCGAGTCTACCAACACACTCTGCGATCCTGGAAATGCTCTATACTCTGAGGGAGGTTCAACCTGAGCGTACACAGTTCTCAAAACTCATGGACCTGTACATTTTATTCAAGGTGAGAACTCAAGAAAGCGCACTGGAATTGACTCAGTAGCAGTGAGCGCTAGGTGAAAGTGAGAAAGGAGGAAAATGAAAAACTCTACTCTTGTTGACAACACATTCAGATCTTAAAAGACTACAACAAATCCTCTCATATACAGCAATAGCCACTTATTAGTTATCAGCTCTATGCTGGAGCCCCGGGAAATCTTTAAAAAATGCAAACGTCTCCCCTTTTCTTTCCTTCTTGAAATCTACCAGTGCTCATTCACATCATACCCATCCAGCAGTATGCCTTCTCCTAATCCCCTACCCTAGTCTAAGATCTTAAAAATGGCTACTCCTTAGTCATAATGAACATATTACACAGTCCACTCTGAAGGTGCACAACACCTTGAAAAGAGAGGTCCATGGATCACAGGACACTGCTCTGGATGTACTGGACTCTCTATGGATTGGTACTAAGAAATAACTAAGATGCCTTGGTGATAGGGAACGGATAGGAAAGGTAACACACACACACACACACACACACACACACAGAAAGACCCTACAGGACAGTGTAAAATTGCCCAAGTTTCCAAGACTATAACTCTTTTTTTTAACAGTTTTATTAGCACTTAATCCACTTGTTATACAATTCAACAGTTCAATCATATCAAGAAGAGTTGTACAATTATCATCACAGTCAATTCTAAAACATTTCCTTCTTCCTTGTACTCATCACTATATAATTATTGTTTTCTAATTGTGGCAAAAACATACACAACAAAACCTTCTGTAATTCAACAACTTCTACATGTATAATTCAGTGCCACTGATTATACTCTCCATGTTGTACAACCATTACCAATATCCTTTCCCAAACTATTCCACCATCGCTAACAAAAACTCAATGCCCCTAAGCAACAACTCTTCCTCCATCCATGGTAACCATCGATCAAGTATGGTTTCTCTGTTTTTGTTTTCTTGATATAGTATTCACATATCATATACTTCCACAGTTAAATCACGTTTTTAAAAGTTGTATATACATCATCTCAATTAGTTCTAGTGTTCTCTCTCACCTCCCCACCTGCTCTCCAAGTCCCTTCACTCTCTCCACCCCACCTCCATATTCTCATAAACCACTGACTGCATCAGTGTTGTCTCTGTGCATCCACTCCTATGCTTCAAACTGGGAACAACAGAAACAATAAAAAGCAAAAACTGGTAAGAAAATAATAACAACAATATACAGATAAAAAATACAGAAAAGATTAAGAAAAGACCACACCAATATTTAAAAAGCCAGAGGAAAAAATTCCTGTTATGGAACAACCAAGAAATACTGAAGCCTAGAGCAAATTCAGGTTGGGTCAAGAGGCAGGTCAACTGACCAATATCACATTATATACCGTGGTTAGCACCACCACATCCCTGCCTAACAGTAAAGCTGTTTGAGTGCATTGCCTGTGGCGGAGGGGATCTGTCAGAGGCTCAATCTGACTCGTTTACAGATGGAATCTGGGCTCCCATGGTCCTCTATGGCCTTGTACGAATTGGGTATTCACAATTTTAGCTCATACTTTTCCCTTCGAGACTGTAACTTTAAAAAAACCAACACACAATTACTTTATTGATTTTCTTCTAACCAAACACTGCCAACTATAATTCTACTCACGCATCATTAAAGACAAAAGGATATTTCCTTGGCATTTTCAAGTGATGCATCATACAATAAACAGAAGTTAGAACTTAAAATGTACCCTGATTAGTTATGTAAACTGCTAATTTTTTTAAAGAAAGCATACCTAATAATTTGGTTTCTTTCTTCATAGTCTTGAGGTTATCATTTTAAGTAGTGCACAGTGTGGCACATATAGTTTCATCTAGAAAGAAAGACTATAACTCTTTAGGAGAGTAAAACGCCTCATCTTTCCCCCTAGGAGCAACTGGTGGTTTCAAACTGCTGACCTTTCTGCTAGTAGGCCAATGCATAACCACTACACCACCAGGGCGCCAAGAAAGGTAATACTAGATCTCTATTGGAGTAAGAACCTAGCAAAAAAAAAAAAAGAGGACTGAGGTTGACAGCCAAAACCAAAACTCACTGCCATTGAGACGATTTGACCCTATAGGACAGGGTAGAACTGCCCTGGTGCGTTTCCAAGACTAACTCTTTACAGGAGTAGAATGCCTCATCTTTATCCCAAGGAGTGGCTGGTGGTTCTGAACTGCTGACTTTGCCATTAGTTGTCCAATGCTTAAATATTATGCCACCAGAGCTCAGAAGCAAGCAACCAAAAAACCAACAACAACCAAAAAAGCCCAAATCACTACAAACAATAGTGACCCTATAGGACAAGGTAGACCTGTCTCACTTGCTAAGACTCACTCCAGGAGTAGAAAGTCTGTTCTTTCCCAGAAGGGAGCTGGTAGTTTTAACTGTTGACCTCACAACTGGTTAATAGCCCAACTCCCAAACACTACACCACTAGGGCCGACAGCAGTCTAAGTAGTTTGTGACAATACCTGACTTTTCATATCTGTCTACTTACCCTTAAGCTACAGTGCAACCAAGCTAAGCCCTGAATAGGACAATTATATTACAATTAAAGCAGAACTGTCTGACCTGAGGCAAGTTGTTTTACCTCTAAGTCTGTTTCCTCATCTATAAAATGAACATAATAGCTCTACTTCTTAGGGTTGCAAGAAAAAGTTTGATAAAACAAAGTATGCTGTTTGTGTACTGTGCCTGATACTAGGAATTTCTCAATAACTGTCACCTATAGCCATCAAGGAATACAGGCTTACTAATTTCTCTCAAGGTGCCCTGGTTATGGGTTGGGCTGCAAACTACTAGGTCAGCAGTTCAACAAAACCACCAGTGTGCTCCACGGGGAAAAGATGGGGCTTTCTACACCCGAAAACAGTTACAGCCTCGGAAACTCACAGGGCAGTGCTATCCTGTCCGGTAAGGTCACTATTCACTTGATGGCAATGAATTTAACTTTGGAATTTCTCTCAGAATACATACTATGCTACAAAGTCGGTTTTAATAATGAACAAAAAGTTCACTCTGCTACAGTCTTAATATTCTGGATGATAAACCTATTTAGTTAGATCAGGTGCTAATGTTTTAAACTGCAGTCTAAGCAACGTGGATGAGTTTGCTTCTTTCATTAACGAGAGAAGGGGAAATAAAATATATCAGTACCTCTTCATTTATGCAAAGAACGCAGAAACGAACCGCTTACTTACACGGCATGTAAGGGAAGTGGATGTTAGGAATAGGAAAACAGAAACAGGAGAGAAGGGACGGAGGAGAGAATGGTACTTCAAGCATAAACTTTTATATGGTCCTGACTTAGAAGCATGCTTGCGATTCACACACTAAAAAAGTAAACAGACAAAAACCACTAAGAGGAAGAGACCCCCAAATAAAGTACCAAAATAAACGAGCTGAAATGCATTGCAAAGGAATAACTCAACCACAATGGGTATAGGGAAAGCGAAAGAAGTAAACGAATCCTAGAAAACAATACTTCTCTCTCTTAGATCCACCCAAATTGCTGGGCATATCAATAAATAACTCCTTCTGATTCACTGCTGTATCCATGACATGGATACACCACCCTCGAGGGCCATCTGGGCTGTTCCGTTTTTGTTTTGGCAATGACAAAGTTGTCGCGACGTTTTCGCGCGGAAATAATTTTTCGCTTCCCTAGGATAAACATTCCGAAATGCCAACCCTGGACCGTACGGTTTGTACGTGTTTTATCTGTGGAGAAACTGCACTAAATCCACTCTCCATCCGTCGCGCCGTCAGCCCGCCAAGCCCCATCACAGGCCCCACAGAATAACGGGGGCGCTGGGAGCTCGGCACCGCCCTCTCGCTAATGCCTCGGCGGGGCCCGTCACGGCCACCCCGCCCGGCCTCCCGGCCGCCCCCAGACGCTGCCCGGCAGTGGGGGCGGCGGAGACAGCCCGGCCGGGGGGAGCGGGCCACGAAGGTGCCGGGCCTCACCTGGGTGGGGAGCCGGGCCTGAGGCCGGGGGCGGAGAGGCGAAGGGCGGCGGGGCGAAGGCCTCGCTTTGGCTCAGATCGCGCGGCCGCTTCTCCAGCCGCCGCACCAGCCAGCGCACCGCGATCAGCAGCACTGAGGCGCCTAGTAACTCCCAGGCCAGGGCCGTCCACTCGGCCACCGGCAGCCTCGGCCACAGCATCACTGTCGCCCGGCCGCCACCGCCGCCGCCCGGCCACTAAGTGCCTGTCACGAGACGTTCCACGCCGCGCTAAGGAAGACAGGGTCCTGCTTCTGCCCCGCCCCGCGCCCGGGTTGCCCGCGCCACTGCCTGATGGGAACGCGCGGTGGACGCGGCGCCGGCGCTGTTCACGCGAGACCGGGCCCGCTTCTGCGTTTACAGAGACTCGGAGCGGGGGCGCTGCCGCAGACGGTGGCTCCGGCGGCGCAGGGAGCGCGAGCGCGGTGGCCGGCAGGCGGCGCAGGCAGCCCGGACTGCAGCACTCAGAGCTGGGCGCGGCCTGAGGGCGTCGAGTCGGCAGTGGGCGGGGCTGAGACGGCGGCTGCGGAGGGCCGCGCGGGGAGGCTGGCGGGGTGTTGCGCAGGGCACGGAGCCGCGCGCCGGAAGGGAAGCCGTGGAGTTTGAGGCGCGCGCCCCGGGAGCCCGTCGGGCGTGAGGCGGCCGAGCCGGAGGTGGGCGGGGCCTGACGACGCCCCGCAGAGGACTGGGCTCGGGAAGTCTCCCTGGGCGCCGCCACCTCCCCCGTCACACAGTCGCCCGCGAGGTGAACCTCGAGCGAGTGTGAGGGCGCCGAAGTTTGTCGAGCCCGCGCTCGGGTTTGGCCGGGGTGGCGCCATTCGCGTGTTCTCGGGGGTCTCCGGGGGCGGGAGAGCAGCTCGGCACGCGGGACGGGGCTGTTCAACCGAGTGTGGACCGCGGTGCCGGCCCGTGGCTCGCAGGGGCTGCAGAGTTGACGAGGACGGACGCGAGGCCCTCCAGGGTTTCAGACGAGAAAGTCCCCCCACTTCGCAGCTGACTTTTCGCCAGATCTGACTTGATCGGGCAGGACGCTTGACTTGCTCAGCTTCTGTTCCTTTTGATTTCTGCCCACGCCGGCCAGGAGGTTCACCTCCCGGTGGTGTCTCCGACAAGTGTCTGCTGCTCAAGGTTTTCACGGCGAGGTTTCGCTGCTGTGTGAACTACTGGTGGCAGAGTTCGAGCAAGCATCCCAGCGAGCTGCAAGCCGCAGTCTACCACGCAGGGGTTGGAGGGCTACCTAAAGACGCATCAAAAGGGAGTTTGGAGAGCTGATGGCACTGCCCTAGGTTGTGATTGTGGCTACACAACTGCTTATGCCTGTCAAGGCTCACAAAGATGTACAGTAAAACAGGTTTCAATTCTCTAGCTGTAGGTGAGAGATAGCAAATGGTGGTGAGGAAATGAAGTACTTGTGGTACTCACACTGCCAGCAGGAGATGTAAATTGGGTTAACCACTGGAAATCTGTTAGCAGTTTCTTATAAGGTTAAACACACCTTCCTAATGGCTTAGCACTACAGCCATACTATTTACTCAGAGAAATGAAAACATGAGTTCATAGAGACTTGTATAAGAAAGGTCATAGCAATTTTATTCATTATAGCCCCAAATCAGAAGCAACCGGTAGGTATATGGACCGACAAATTGTCCTGAATGCCTACTATGCAACTATGTGGCTGAATCTCAAAAACATGCTAAGCAAAAAAAAGCCAGACACAAAAGTGAACATACTATATGATTCCATTTATATACAATTAAGAACAGGCAAAGCTTACAGTGATAGGAAATCAAAGCAATGGCTGCCTGGGATAGAAGGTGGTAAACTGGGAAGGGGCATGAGGGAACTTTCTAGTATGAAAGAAAGATTCTATATTTCATTTGGGTTGGTAGTTATCAGCAACATATTTGTCAAAACTCATCAAATAAACATGTAAAATCTATGCCTCTTTAATGTGTAAAGTATGCCTCCATTTAAAAAATGGAATAAAGATTGCTTTTTAACTAAACCCTTACTATATACACTTTTAGTTTTCATCGCTAAGTCCTGTGGACATCTGTCCCTAATCCCCTCTTAATTTTGGTCATTTTATGGATGTGTGTCATTTGTGTCGTGATTAAAGAGCACCAGTTACTGCTGCACGGAAAGATACTAAGAGCCGCATCTGTGTTACTTTGAGTAAGACTGACCATTAGCAAACAGACCTGGAGCTGTCACCACAGACTGAAAAAGGGAAAAAACAGCAGAAAACCAGTTGACACCTCCCAGGGCAAACTTGTAAAGAAATGGACTGCAAAAGGAGATCAACTGCAGAGAACGCGAGGAAGCTGTTTGCCTGTTTACTGCCGTGGAGGTTGAGGAGCCGGTGAGGTTTGGAGGAGGTGGCCAGATACTGACACCTTTCAGGAAGGGGTGTGTGAACAAACAGCAGATCTTAAATGAATACAGTTCAGCTAAAAGGATGGAAAGGGATTTTAAAAATACATTCCCACTTAGGGTTGTGATTTTAGGCAGGAGAATCTTTCTAAACTATGTTTGCATGTTTTCTTTTTGTATAATTGGGATTTATTTTGTAGATGTCTTCACCTATAATATGGGATTTTTTGTTGTACTAACAGTGTGAGCGTGCTTTTAAAATAAAAGATGAACTATATATTTTTTAAAAGGGCATTTTTGTCTCCAGAACTACAAAGCTGCCATGATTAGTTCTGTCCTTAGTCTGGGGAGATTGCATGAAAGAGAAACTTCTCATTTTGAGGGGTCTGTTTATAGTAGCTTTGCCAACTTAAGTGGTATCAATACCAAGACTTTCTATGGAATGGAGTCAATAGTAAGGATGTTCTGGCTCTCTTCTTCACCACCATAATCACAATTTACTTGAAATTCAGTAACTGGAATAATCAAGGGGAAAAATATAGGGGGCCCCACCTCTTAATTTTCCAAAAGGGAAATAGAACTCTATTGTTAAGAAGCCAACCTTATTATTGACTATAAATTTTGAGGCAAAAGGTAGAGAATTTGAGATGTAAACAAGTAAGAGTAGAAGTGGATTTACAATGAATGACTAGACATGACGCTTGGAAGAATCTATGTCTTTTGAGATTGGTAATCTTGATGTAATTCCTAATAGTAATTTGTCAAGCTCTTAACCCTTATACCATCCCAGGTTAGGAGACAGTCAAGGACTGGTGCGTCCCCACAAGTGGCTGAGGCGTTGTTCTTTTAATGCATGTGTGGATATCCTCCTGTGAGAGCAGGCTTGATACAAGAATCAAGAAAAATTGGGGATAGCAGTAGATGAGGTTGAGGTCAGGGGGTGGAAGGCACTTTCGATCTTTCTGAGGACTTAATTGTGAGCCGAATGGGAAGCTAATAGAGTTCTGTCAGAGAAATCTCCGTCTTCACAACCCCCAGGAGCCGAGTTTAGCAGTGCCCATGGCAGGTGATGGGCCCCCGCTGACTTGAAAGCCCATGACCCCAGAAGGGTGGGTATGAGCAAAGGTACCACGAAGAACTCCAGAGGAAGCTAAGCAACATAGTTTGATATTTTCCTGTTGTTTCCAGAAAACTACCTTTTTCAAAGTATACTTTTTACCAGCATCCGTAAAAGCATTGTCAAGTGAAAACATGCATAAGCGCAAGAAGCAATCCCTATAAATGGTTTTGATTTTAAAGGGGGACCAATTACAGGGAACTACATGTGACCTCCTCCCTGGGGGACGGACAACAGAAAAGTGGGTGAAGGGAGACGTCGGACAGTGTCAGACATGACAAAACAATAATTTATAAATTATCAAGGGTTCCTGAGGGAGGGGAGAGCAGGAAGGGAGGGGGAAAATGAGCTGATGCCAGGGGCTTAAGTGGAGAGCACATGTTTTGAGAATGAGGGCAATCCATGTACAAATGTGCTTTACACAATGGATGGATGTATGGATTGTGATGAGTTGTTGTATGAGCCCCCAATAAAATTATTTTTTAAAAAGGGTTATGATTTTACAAGCTACTATTTGAGAATTCCTCCATGTAATAGAAGCGGGGTCCTCTTTGGACAAACCCATCAAACTAGATGGCTGAGGTCTACGCACGCCTCTTTTATGTTTCCCACATAACCTGCTTCCTGATGCTGCAACAGGGTGGGATTTTTTTGTGACTTGGTGGTTTTTAATACGCTGCGCCTCCCACCTGTGATTAGTCAGCTGGCCTGCACTGTTGAATCCTGTTTCAGTCACAGTGCTGCCAATGTTTGCTACCGCCCTAAGCCAGGTAGTAGCTACTATAACCAGAATCCCAAACTTGTTCACTGAGTCAATTCAGACTAATAGCAATCCTCTAGGGCTGATTAGAACTGCCCAGTAGGGTTTCCAAAGCTGTGATCTCTACCGAAGCAGACTGCCACCTCGTTCTCTCATGGAGCAGTTGGTGGGTTTGAACTACTAACCTTTTAATTAGCTGGAGAGTATTTAAACATCGAGTCACCAGGATTCCTAGCTACCCATAAATCTATGTCAATTTAGGAAATAAAGTTATTAACTAGTGAATTCAGTGACTGCAAATGTCTATGAAAATTTACAGGCAAAAGGAAAAATTTCAAATACATATAAGCCCCTTTAATAGTTATTATAGGGAACCCTGGTGGCATAATTGTTGCGAGTTGGGCTGTGATCTCTATGTATGGTCAGCGGATCAAAATCAGCAGTGGCTCTGAGGGACAAAGACCGGGCTTTCTACTTTTGTAAATAGTTGCCAGTCTCAGAAACCCACAGGGCGGGTCACTCTGAGTTGCATGGACTCGATGGCAGTGAGCTCGGTTTGCGTGAGAATGGTTATTAGAGAGAGGAAAGCTTTGCACCCGTCACTGTTGTGGCCACACAGAAGGTGGCTCAGGAAATTTTTGTTTTGTTTTTTTGTGCTTGATCTTTGGAGTTGCAGGGGATACATACATGCACTTGGCACATGCACATAGCAATAAATAATCATTCTGTGATCATCTGTTTATTTCTTTATCTGCACATTTTTTACCATGCTGGCCGTTAATGATAACATTGAACTGAAAACTCTACTCGCTAAACTCTGCTCAAATATAAAATGCAGATGAAAAAGACAGGAGGAACTAGGGAGTCACAGGGCTCTAAAGCTGTGGCGTGGGAGACATCCCAGGTGCACAAGTTGATAGCCCTAAAAAAAGCCATCATTTTTGACTCTTGGTTCCCTTAGAAGTACATTTTGCTGTTCCTATGACTCTCCCCTCCTCTTGTACCTACGTGTGTCAGCAAGTGACGTGGGCTAGAGAGCGGAGAAATAGGGTAAATTGCTGCCACTCTTGTACTCTAGTTATAATCACGTTAGGTTTCACAACCTGTCTGAAGCTTGCGCAAAACAGTAAAATTCTTGAAAACAAGGCATCGGAACAGAGTACTTGATATGAGATTAAAAAAAACCTCCCAAATATGACAAAATATACTTAAATATTAAAATGAAGCCCTCAATGAAATATGAAAATCTTTACCAAAAATAGTTTATTGCACAAATTTTAAGGAATTCCCAAGCACGCTCAAAATTTTAAAAAATCAACATGCTTTTTAAAGTTACAATTATACATGGTGCCACCTTTACCCTAGAAGGTCCCAAACTGCAGGACTCCCTTTTATGAGTAAATGTTTCATAAAAATGAACTAATGACTCAAAACCAGAGTCTCTTAGACTCTCCCTAAAACATATACCCCTCAAGGATCATATAACCCCAAACAAACAAACATAGGATGAGACTTGCTTGGCACTTGCAGTTTGAAAGAGGCCCACGTGTCTCCACATACTATCACTACTCACACCACAGAGGCATTTACTTTTTATTTTAAAAAATGCTCACGGAACTAGGAATATATGTCATGAGGCCTGCAGGCCCGGATTCTGCAATACCGCTCTAAGAAGAAGAGCTAAGTTCTTAAGTAGACAGCATAGCGAGCAACATGAAACGCTTTCCAAGGCAGCACTAGTTTACCTGTGCCACAGACCTTCTTCAGGGGACCAGTTCCACTACCTGGACTGTAATCTGTACTAACTAGAGTCAACAAGCTAAGAAAAACATGGCCTGTCACGAACTTCCAAAGTTGAATCTATAAGATCCATAACATCTCTATGATGTGTACGTGTAAAAGTCAACGATAAGCATGGTGCAATTATTTTTTCTGGAAATCAAGAAAGGCATGTAAGATCAGGACATGTCCAACCCATCACTACTTATACCGAGGATACTCAATCCCGTGGGTATATATTTAACATGAGCACTGAAACAGTGGGAACTTGTCTTTATAAAGTAATACTTCAGCTTTAACGATCGTTTTCCCTGACACAACAGATGGTTCATGAAATGTCTGTTTTCATCTGGTCACATGACCCTTAGTTACAGAACCTAATAAGGTGGAGTCTGCCCACAACAACAAGAACAAGATTTTAAGCTTCAGTGAATGAATGAGACTCTAGGTTGGAGCAGCAGAAGTACTAGAAGAGTCCCACAACAAGTCAAAGAGCACGCACATTTTGTTTTCTTTAAGGTGACTTATCAAGGAAGCTTCAAGGTAGTGTCGGCTTTAACTCAAGAGCCCTCCATCTGGAACCCCACGCTAGCCAATAAAATAGCAGGAACTAACACACAACGGGCGGGAGGAACAGTCAGTGCCTAACGTCAGTGACAGAGTTCAGACACAGAGGCCGGGCATTTCCTGGGCCAGAAGATGGGAACATACAATGAAACTGGCACAAACACAGAACACAAAGAAGTGGTGCTGTTTCTAAGGGCATCTATGTGTGGGCACACACAGGTGCACGCATGCTTGAACCAAAGGAAAAAGGAACGAGGAACTGAGATGGGCTTTCACTCGACGAACCAATTTAGAATTAGTTCATCCTTTCCTCAGAGAAAAGTACACATGGAGCGTGATACACACGAAGACCTTCTACCAGCAAATAGGAGAAAGCAGCTCTGCGGTAGAACAAGTCTAAGTGTTATTTCTTTTGGAAATTAAAACAAAGGATGAGAGCCAAAATAAATAAATGGACATTACTATTTTTCTCCTCTAATGGTACAAAAACATTTATCCAAAAATGATTTATAACTTAAGATAAAGAGTACAGTATATTTGTAGTGAAATTTTCAAGTATTATTTTGAGATCAATTCTGTACAAATGATATACATATTTTAGAAATTCCAATACTTACTAAGGAATTTTTTTTAAATACTAAACACCTTTGTAGCTAATGGTACTTAACCCTTTCAATTAACTAACAACATATTACAAGAGAACAATCACAAGATTACAAGAGCTTAAAAATACCATCCTGTTTTCTCCACAAAGTAGGCATATTAATAAATCAACATGAGCATATCTGGACTGATCAGTAACACTTCACTTTCAGACCAGTCAATCTGAAGAGAAGCCGCCTAGCCCCATTCTCTCATATCCCTAATTTATAACTATAAATATTATCTTAGACTTCCTTAGTCGAGGGGAAAACATTATGAAATTTCAAGTCTCACCACAGTTTCTACAGTGTTGAAATATTAGGAAAAAAGTGTATGCAAATAAAATGGTATGCACTTCAGGTGACCTCATTTTAAAGTAAGGCATTCTCTTCAGGGGACTTGTCGGGAGGCCACAGCACTTATGTTCAGGGTGCTGATTCCTCGCAGACATCACCCCCACCATCCAAACAAGCAATGAAAGGGGTTGCTAACCATTTTGATCAGTGTAACCAAATCAGCACTCAGTGCTCCCTTAGCTAATGAGATCAGCCCCTAGCAAACATCTTCACTTTGGGCGCAGGAAGTGTGAGGAGGAGGAGAAAGCCGCGGTGTCTTGCCCAACAATCTACAGCTGGGGAAAGAATCAGGCAGCACACAGGCGGACCTAAGCCACAGGGAGCCCCTGTAGCTCTCACTCTTCCCTCTGCTCTGGGCTGCTGTTTCCTCCTCTGCTTTCCTTTCTTCCTGTGCCGACCTTTTCTGTCTCCACTCTCCTCAGATTTCAGGGCAGCGTTCGAGAACTTCACTGCCCCTAGGTGGCCATCAAGTCTAAGAGAGATGCAGGCCAGCTCCTCACTGGCGGGAGGGCAAAGGTGTGGCCAACAGATCATAGAGAGCTTGTGTACTTTTGGAAGGATGGAACAGGCAGCGGAGGAAGAGACTCTACAAAATAAACAGAAACTGGAACAAAGAACCCTTTTTGTGCAAGGATATTTGGTTTTAGAAGATATAGTAAGTAAAATAATTATATTTCTTAAAATATAGTTTTCTGACTTATGTCCCTAAATCCTACATGTACATAATTTCCTGACGGCAAATTTTCAAAAGGCAATGAATAAAAAGACAATTCAATTCAGGTTCTTCTCAAATTATATAAGCATATATATATATATATTTTTAAAGATTGAGTAACGATTTTCTGTTTTTATATATACATCCTATGATGGGCTGGCTATTTGCAAGCAAGACAAAATAAAATTAAAAACCAAAGGGGCAAAATAGTTTCATTTCTGCAGGAAAGTAAAGCTCTTGCGGAATCAAACAGGAAAGTGAAGCGTAGCATCATTTGTCCAGGAACCTCCTGAAATGTTCCCAAGAGTGACAGGCTGGACAGTGTGACCTTCAGAGCAGCATCTACCATCACTCAGAAAATATCACATTCTGCAAATCGGCCTTCAGACATACTGAAAATTTTCCACTTATAAATAAACTGGGTTTTTACAATGTAGTCACGTCTGGAGAAGTGCTAATTGTGATCTACAAATGACTCGCTTTGAAACTTGGCTCTTGTTATTCTTCTTGTTAAAGGCAACAGCAAAACCCAAAGTTTCATCTCACAGAAAAGCAGCCAGTCACTATAAGATCAGTAATGATAAAAGAATCTTCCTTTCCATAGCTACAACAACCTGCTCAGAAAGTGGGGGAATCTTTAGGGTCACAGTTGCAACACTTCCGTGGATGCATTGCTTGAATGGTGTTTCTCTGTGTCACCCCTGGGGTTGGCATGATCTTCAGGGGGGGCAGGACTGGGGCCGACCAGGTCCCCAAGGTGGCCTTCAGCCTGAGTCCACGAGCAGAGTGACTCGTGCACAGTGATGGTGTGCTCTTCCATCTGGCGCTGCAAGCTGTCCATCTCCTGCCTGGGGAGGACACAGAATACTCCATCAGACAAAAGCACAAATGCCCACAGCTGCCTGAAAAGACGCTGAATTCATTCACCCGCAGCCGACTCAGAGTAGAGGGCAGCTTGCTCCCTAGCCTTTGTGAACCTTTCAGGGTCGGACAGGAAAATCAAGCAGGTAGCGGTCCCTGAGCTTAAGAAGTTCTTCCAGAACTGCTCCCTCTTATGCACATGTGGATTAGGCACATGTAGACTTCCAGTAGGAATGGGGTTGTGACAATGGAAAGGAAGGATGGATGGACAGGTAAGAGTGTGTGACTGACCAAGCCACTACCGAGAGGAAGCCCTGCTACAGGTTAGTATCATGTATTACTCCATCCCCTTACCTCCCCACAGAGAAGGCTCCACTGCCCAGGGTAGAGCCACCACCTCACGGATGATTGAACCTGGACTTGGAGGCCGGGGCTGCTGTGTGGAAGAGTAATCAACCAGTCCTAAATGGAGACCTGCTCAAGCTCTCAAGTCACTGCGCAACTTCGCTTGTAAAGACCACACACAAGGGACCACCAGGTGCATACTTCAGTTGCTGGAGGCAGCTGTTCAGGCTCTTCAGTGGTTCCTTGCTCACAGCAGGTGAGGGTCGGAGCAGCTCCTCGAGCAGGGAGGCGGGCACTGGGCAGTCAGGAATCTTCACTGGTGTCACGGGGCTGGAGGAGCTGGCTTCACCCTTCAGCTCCTTCCTCTGTTTGAAAGTACGTCATTAGCTTTTCCATTTGAAGGCCCTCTGACCACCCTGTAGCTGTTGGCTACATCACAACACATGGATTTGGGGTTTTTTCCCCCATGGCGCTTACCTCAACTCAAGGGGGAGGTCCTGCCTATTTTTTTTGTTGTTGTTGTTCTTTTATTTTTTTATTTTATTTATTTTATTTTTTTAATTGGGGCTCATACAATTCATCACAATACATAGATCAATTGTGTAAAGCACATCTATACATTTGTTGCCCTCATCATTCCCAAAATTC